AACATCAGACTAGAAGTGACAGTTGAACCTTTACTTTCTGACAAGAAACAGGATTTATTAAGCAGATTATTTGTTAAGCTTTATTCAGATAAAGGCCTGTCTAAAATTCATAAATGGTTAGTGAGAATAAATCAGTACATACTAAGATGGTTAAGTAGACATCAGATAGGTATTTCGATATATATAAAAAAACTAACTGAACATGAAGATATGTGCCGTTGAATTTTCATTTACTCACTTTTAAAAGTATCATTTTTATTATGCGACCTGAAGGTGCTGATTTTAATTCAGTGTTGAGTCACAGGTAAGCAATGCAGAAGAATCATGAACTAGATATGTTCTGAAGTTGTTGTTAAGTTTTCGATGGAAATTATATTATATGACAAGTAATTTATATATACATACTTTTTACATATTTGAAAATTATATTTATCATAGGTTAGTTCCATTTCGAACGAATAACCGGCGGCCTGCTTGAATATCTGAGCTACCTGTTCCTCCCATCTAGATATTTCGACAAGTTATTTGTTTTCTTGTTTGTTTCAACACATCATTATGTCTATTGAGCGCACAATCTATTCAGGCGCGTTTATGAAAAACTTACAATCTTTCGCTGTACATGCTACAAAGAGGTACAATCAGCGACATTAAGGTGCTGGCAATATGCATTGAAACGAATGAACATTATTTATATTTCGATTACTGAACTCCTAACATCTAACTGGTCATCACTCAATATTTATTGTCAGAATCGATCAAGAAATAAGAAAAGGAAACGGCGAGACTCTAATTTAGCGACGAGGCAATCAGAAGCGTTTGAACAATTTCAAGGTCACGGAGCCAAGTTCAACACGCGATGCTGACATACGGTCGGTTCACAGCGGATTTTAGAGAGGTGATTAATGAGAGGTTAAAACAGATGGGACGGCGAAACCCTAATTTAGGGACGAGCCAATGAGAAGCGTTTGAGCAATTTCAATTATTAGCCAATCAGAAGACAGTATAAAGTAAAAATATATTACAAGAAAGTAATGAATTACAGTGGATATTATTCTTTCACATGATTTAAAAACTTGTTAAGGTTTGATAAAGGTTCAGAGGCTATGAATTCATAATGCATATTGTATAGAAAGCTTATAATAATAATAACGACATGTATGACAAAAGTAGGCAAAACATTCACATATTTTGGTATTTCGAACATTACTATTAAAAAAAATAACATTTATATAGTTGCCTGTGTCATTAATAAACTTTAGAGCATTTCATTTTCCTCAATCATAAATTCCTGAATACCGATTCGTGACACATTTGCTTTGGAAGTCTACAAAATTTTGTCTAATGAACCAGTTTGTGAGGATTTTGTTGACTCCTAACGTATTGATAGTATCAAGGAGTGGTTAAACTTTATTCCTCAATCATGCATACCATTATCAATTTAAATAATCAAAAGTACGGCTTTCAAGTATCACGACGAAAACATTCGCCCTTAAAAATCCGTATAAAGATATAGTTTTCTACTTTCCAACTTCAAATTATTACATCACAGTAGGGTTATAATTTGCTTTTTCAATGCGAGCGATTATGTCATGTAAGTCCTAAAGTGCGTGTTGTCAATGCTAAGACGATTACCCCGTAATGAGTAATTTTTGTCGTGGTGAAATCAAGCGATAAATATATACAAATGAGGCCGTTATCCAGTGTTTAGTAAATATGCGGTACTTTTGAGAATATTTCCAGTAAATATGGCAGTGCAATTTTCCTTGGAGTATTTTTTTACTTTAACCATCCCAAGTTATCTACTATGAACACGCCAATCTAATACATTCCAAAAAAACTAGATGAAAAACACAAATATATTGAAAGTTAGAGCTTCACATGAAAAATCCGATGCAATAAACTAACTGAACAGTGAAAACACCCGCACGCATATAGATACACATCATTATTTATTTCCACGTTTTTCTATCAGATATTCAAATGGGCTAAATTGATAGTTAAAACATTTTGTTTAAAAAAAAGGAAGTCATCAATTACAAGTGTTTTTCCTTTCATTCAATATTCCCACTATTTCTTTCTTCCCTGATCTTTTAAAGAGGAACTACAAAATGAAATTTAACTATAAGTATTGTTTTCACATAATTATAATCAAGATTGTTTATATTATTATAAGAGAAGAAATAGAGGAAGAAGAAGAAGAGAAATAACAACAACAGCAAACACTTAACTTGAATAGAAAACACAAAGAAAAACATCACACAGAAATATTCCAAATTATTAATCATTCAATAAATTTACTTTCTAGTTAATTATGAATATGAATATAAAATAGTCGGAATTGTGTTCCAGTTTTTATCTTAGATGAAAACAAAAAAACTAATAAATTGATCACAAATTTCTTATGCAGCAATATAACTACATCCAGCCGGCAGTTTCTAAACAGGGCGAGACACGCATCCTGGATCCCATTGCTGAACATAATCTATTCATTCAGTAAAAACGCTTGTGGCAGAATGTTTACGTCGTCAATCTCTAAAGGGTGTAGATATGCCGACAAAGAATGAACAAAGGACGGTTTGAATTCTTACTAACAACTTATAGAACGTAATAATTTTGTTTTAACTAGTAATTGTATTACAGAAAAATTAATGGTTAATTAGTGAGAATTATTTCACGAAATCATGATTTTATATTAAAATGTATTGATTTCATGTAAATTAACTTTCAAATCGGTGTAATAAACCTGGACATTTATGTCAACTTTCAATGGTCAGTCATATTAGAGTAGCAATTAATCTAAATATCTCGAGTTATAAAAATCTTATTACCGTTGTGAAGGAAATCTTAGTAAAGAAACACATGAATTAATCTTGTTTGATATTCTAATCAAAACTTTGGTTTGCGAATGAATTATTCACAATGATAATCTTGTCAGTCTTACAAGTCACATGAAGTACGGGGTTAGTAATCGACGAACATCTACTTTGAATCTGACTAGCCATTTTAAACAATTTCTCAGGAAAACTTAAACCGCTTTTGTATTATTTGCATAATACAAAAACGACTGTATACAAACAATATACTCATTACAGTGGTAACGATTGTATTGATTATTAGAAGCTTTTACTTCTGTATGTGTAAAATTATAATAACTTAATTCGTCACATATATTTTGATGTTGATTTCGTATTTTTAGTTAAAAATCTTCAAACAAATGTCATATCACTTTGATTAACATTAATAATTGTTAATCAGTAAATCAAATCGATACCCTTCTTTAACTAAAACAAAATCTACCAGCCTCGCGCGCGAGCGCTTAACTCCAGGAAATTCCTCTTGAAGTCAGTCACTAATGATTATTGTCAGAAGGGGTTTCGTGAAGGTCATGGGTTCGAATCTCACGGAGGACGGGATTGTGGACGCGCACTGCTGAAGAATCCCATACTAGGACGAAACGGCCGTCCAGTCCTTCCAGATTTTCCGTGGTGGTCTAGCTTCAACTGACTCATGATTTCAACTATTGAAATTACTAAAATCTCCACAAAACCCCTTCTGATAAAACAAGATCATTTAACGTCAAGTCGTTTACCTAATCTAACAATACGGAAACAGTAAATCAAAGAAAATTTTGAAAATGATATATTGAAATACATAGTAATATGTTGAGAAGGGAAAATAAATAAGATGTAATGGGACGTTAATAATCTGGAAAACCTATATACGTGTCCCATTTTGGTCAATTTTCAGCTATGTCAATTAAATATTCATTGATTAGCCTAGATTAATAATCAACGACTTCAGTGATTGGTATAATATAATCGTCTGACTAATAAACAGCTTTCCTCTAACTTCACGTCAACTAAGAATTAATCATCTGAATAAATGATGAAACGACAGCAACATATAACTAAGCCGTCCTGATAAATTCATTTTCCTTGATTAGAAAGATCACTTTCTTGAGATAAATAACTTAATATACTTGTGGTTTTATTTTGCTTTCCTTTTCTCATCTAGTAATATATATATATATATATATATATATATATACCAATTGATCACGAGAGATGTACACTACTGTTTACGGCCTAATTGTTGTTTGTTTCTATTCTAGTCATGATTAATTAACTAATTATTATTATACTTATAAATATTACTTTGATGAATCTTGTGACTTCTGTTTGGTTATTTGTTTCTGGCTGAAAATAAGTTGTAATTTATGAGAAAAATGCCTTCATCACAAGGTAATTGAATTTACTTGTGAAAAAAAACTAGTATGTTTGGTGATTCCATCTATGAGTTGAAGAATTTTAATTCTTGCCTAAATGTACCTACATATTCCTTTCTTAGATTAGTGAGAATTTTTCTCTTAAAATGAGTGTTTTGTTGTATCACATGGATTCTTTAGGTATGTAAATTATGATTATGTAAAGTGGAAACAGATGATGCTTTTTCCAAACAACGACTTATTAACAAGATGCACTATACTGGGCTTGAATCCAGCGCCGGATTATTCAGCAGATTACAGTATTTCCCTTTGATGAGTTCAAATAAATATGAAATTCCTTCCAACATCCTCGCGTACTTTACTATAAGTTGATTATATTCTATATTTATGCAATAAAACTAAGTTGAATGAAATATTAGTTTCGCTTATGATTCGTTGATTCACAATCGATTATAAAAATCGCTGGAATACAACTCCATTATTCAATTTGATTATATATTAGTAGAATTTCCAAGACATGTTTTTATCTTAAAATACTTGTATTATTGAATAAAAATCCTTTGAAAACTTATCATTATAATTTTGGACCTAAAATTCATAATTAAAAGTTGAATATTAAACATAAAAATAACAGATAATAAATCATGAATGAATATTCCAAGTCAACGGTAACATTGAAGATTGTATAAAAACAAGAAAAAATTTATAATAACAGCTGTGGTGACAATAATAATAATAATAATAATAACGATAATAATTATAATAATAGATCATTTCAGAAGAACACACGTTCAGTTGCTGTTGCCTCAAGAAACGGTGATATTGTCGCTGAACTGACAAAATAAAATAATATACCACATGTTATGGATATTGGTAAAGCTGGTAATGCTTGTCGTGTAATTCCCAATACTATAACAGTAATACACATTCCAACTAATATAGCCACATAACACGTGACTACAGTGACTGCATCGCCATCAAGTGTTGCACGACCAATCAATAGACTATAAAATACAAAATCGCCTAAACCAAGTTTTACGCCCTTTGAGTCACGATCAATTAAATCTGCCTGTTAAAATAATAGTCAGAATAGGGTATAGGTAAATAACAAATGCACATTAAACATTGAAATGAATATTGATAATAGCTAAAAACGATTGAACCTACCAGTCGTTATATCTTTACAACGAATGATTTCAACAATGTTTAATAAGAAAGATAAATAAATGGATTATGGTTTGATTTGACAATGTCTTCGATTTATTATGGCACAAGTCCATGAAGTCACTGACAAGTGGTCTGAGTCATGTTGGTAGGTGTAGACTACCTGGTTGGGGACCGCGAGATGATAGCAACCGATGGTTAGAGACCCTGAATGACATGGCTCAAAATCGTTTGCAATGGCGCAGGTGCATACACTCTTTGTGTTCTCTTTTTTTTTCTCTTCCCAAATTTATTTCACTGTATTATACTCTTTAAATAACATCTCCAAACACTAATTTTCCCGATTACTGCTTCTACTCTTATTACCTCTACCACTACGGGATTTGAATCAACCACTACATCTGTGTGCTAATGTGGTGTGGCAACTCGAACTGATGTACGTACGTACGAAGTTCTACGTTGTTACTGACTGACTATTATGGTTAGGGGACAGTATTAATCGGAATATAGTGGAGTAGCTCAAACGAAACTTGTGTGTCTTCCAGGGAACCTAAAGTATTAAGTTTGGTTTCAAAAGAAGTATAGAGATGATTCATACTATTGAGCGGTAGTCATTTTTAACTAGAACTCATCTAAGTAAATGCATATTGATAAGGTAAGCTTCCCAGTATAAATCTTATTTCTTCTAATCATTTGCACCTTAGGCCAGAACAAAGTTAAATTAATTGCCTATCATCACATTCAGCTACGTTCAGATCGTGATTACAATGGTCACTCAATGATCCTAGTGTACTTACATGAGTAAACATTGTAACTGTGAACATCAACACAGATAGTGATATGACCAGCATAAAATGATTTTAACGCACATGTAATAAATCAGCCAATAATCCAATCCATGAATAATGACATAAAGAAAATCTTTTCTTATTGACTGAATACATAAATAATAAAGATGAGTTGTACAGTATGCAGATGCCATTTCACCCGGTGTAAATTAGAAAATGTTTCCACGCAACTCAGAAACCGAAAACGGATTTGCAAATCCGGATTTAGATTTTTTAAGAAAACCTAAAATTATCTAGTTCTTTTTATATTTCATTAATAAATCGTCGTTATAACGTACAAAAATAATCTTGACAATTTTTTCCGCGTCATAATACCCCACCAACCTCTGTCGCTACCGGATTGGTTTTCGCTCTTAGTTTATTATTTTGTTATTTCAAGGCCATGGCTATTGCTACGTAAACTAAGTTGTTTCATTGCAGTTTCAACATACTGTAATATCAAGCAATTTCCCTTCTTCACTAAAGTAAGGGATTATTGTTAAAGTTTTGAGTATTCATTGTCCCGTCTATGCAGCTCTCATTGGCTCGGTTTTCTTATTAGGAGAATCGTTCAATCGTTCGTAATTCAGAATTACTGTGAATTACTTCACAACGGAACAAAACCAGATACTACTCAAGAGAGTCAATAACACCGCATAAATTTATTAAAATTAAAGATGGAACAGGGTTCGAACCTGAGACTAAGTAGTCGAAACTTAAGTACTTACATAACCAAACTATTATTCAACAACCCACAATTAAAAAATACCATAACTTTCTCCCAAATCTTGAATATATATATATATATATATATAATCGAACTTCTATCAGTTAACTGTATTTTATTGAACTAATTAAATATATTTAGATGAATGTGTCCAAATTGTGGTCTGAACAGATTGTAATAATTTAGCAATATGTTATTGCCTTTTCCCAACAGTTGTTATGAACCAAGTTAATTTCATGATAATTTTCTGACTGGTCAACGAATATATATACATATACACAATCTGAAAAATATTTAAATGGCCTACGTAATTACAATGACGCAAATCTTTCAAGCCACATTTCACATGGATTCGTAAACATATAATGTATGCTGACAAGTAATAATAATAAATAATAACAATGATAAAAGCGCTAGACCAACCCAAAAACAAATTACACAATATGGGGAATTAACAGGAGTTAAACATATGGATACCGATCCAGTGGTTTGAAGGTTGAGCGCCTGAGGTTCTTGAGTCCGATCCCCAGTACGGCAAGGGATGTGCACTCACGAAGAGCTCCATACTAGGGCGAAGTATTTGCCCAATGCTTCCTAAATTTTAGTGGTTGCTTTGTTTAAATCAATGCGTACTTACACCTGTTCCCTCGTAGAAGAGCATAGGTCGTCCACCAGCGTTCTCCATTCAACTCTTTCCTCGGCAATTCATTCCAGTTGCTTCCGATCCCCGATGCAGTGTGACCTTTGGTCTTCCTTTTTTTTGTTTTCCTTCATAATTCCAAGTTAGCGCTTGCCTCATGATGCAGTTTGGTGTTTTCCGTAATTTATGTCCCATCCACTTCCAGCGTCTTTTCCTAAATTCCTCCTCAGATGGAACCTGGTTTGTTCTATCCCAAGTAGGCTGTTGCTGATGGTATCCGGCCAATGGACATTCAGTATCTTGCGTAGACAATTGTTTATAAATACTCGTACTTTTTATGATGGTTGTGGTAGTTTTCCAAATTTCAGCTCCTTATAGTAGAAATGTCTTGACGTTCGTATTGAAGATTCTGACTTTGATGTTGGCTTGTAGACAATTGTTTTGAGTTTCGCATGTTCTTCAACTGTAGAAATGCCGCCCTTGCTTCGCCAACCCTTGCATTTACGTTTGCATCAGATCCTTTCTATTCATCAATGGTGTTGACCAGCTACGTGAAACTTTCCACCAGTTTCAGAGCTTCTCCATTGGGTGTGATTGGGTTGGTGTTCTGTGATGTAATTGAGGATCTTGCTTTTCCCTTGTATATGTTGAGGTCTAATGATACAGAGACTGCCGCTGCTGATGTTAATCGTAAAATTCAACAATCTTTACAGATATGTTTATTACTACCTTTAATCTTGAGATGGCTCTACTAAAGACGCAGTTGGTTAAACTAATAATTAGGATACAGATCAGTAAACTGACCATTTGAAAAGCACTAACTAGTATCCTTCGAAACCTTAGAAATCTAATTGTCAGGAACTCTTATAGTCCTGAGCTATTTTATTAAGTGATGGTTTCGTAAACTTTGGCAAAAATCAAAACTTGAAAGAAAATGACTGGACATTAATTTTCAAGTGTAACTTGAAGATTAGAAAAAGGCCAGGACTTTTCACTTCTAATTTGATAACCACCCGTCGTATAACAAAAACCTATGACAGGATACAGTACAACACAATACAGATTTGCGTTCAATGTCATTTAATAAATGCTAAAGCAATGACTGTACGTAAACAGTACGAGATGATTGTATGTTTCAAATCATACCCGGTAACAATACTAGGAAAAATAAAAATATAGTAATCTGATAACAAAAATTAATTAGAGAAACATACTAGATAGCCTTTGATTTGTTCAATAGAGCAACTCATTACACAGTGAATAGTTGGTTAAGTCACCAAGAAGCAACAAAGAATTTGAGAAAAGATTAAAGTAAGATGTCATTTAAATATCATTTACAGTTCTATCTTTCAACAAGATGGATTTTTTGAAATACTAAAAAATCAAGGATATAACCTGGATGGATTTACAACAAACCTACAATATCGGATTTCTTATCTGTATGTTGTAAGAACCGACCACATGCCTGTCATTTGTATCATGAATATTAAACATATTATATACTGAATGGTGTAGCCTCGTGGATCACTACACATTTATGTAAAGTTCTCAAATAGTTGTGCTGAATAAGATTTTGAATTTTTATGGAAATATACGACACAATGAACAAATACAGATATATTATTTGCGTCAGCATATACCGGCTAAACAGTGTGATGTGATCAATAGGCAGACCGAAACGACTGCATATGGTGTATGCTAATTATGCTCACAGATATAAAGTAGTATGTAGCATCGATCTGAAGTGGAATGCCTGGCAGCAGAAGATTGAATTAAAGAGAACAGAAAGGAAACCGGAGAGCAATCAAAGTAACAACACAATCTGAGCGATAACGAAGTAGGCGAAGAACAACGCAAAGAAGGTATTTAATGTATGATTTCCATATTTTACTAAGGTGTTGTGTAATTTCGCACTAAAAAGTTGGTTTTCCCCATCAAGTCTTCGTTCACTACCATACTCTGCTTTTTGTTAAGTTATAGAAGAATGTTGACAAATGGCAAATACCGTATTAGTCAATACATATAAAATGATTTCGACTTTCACTAAAAAACATGACGACGATTTTAATCAATGTAAGGATATTGACCGATGTAAACATGATGTTACGTAGTAATAATTACAACAAACTGATGTATAAAAAAACAACATACTTGCAGATCTTGCCAACGATTAAGCCGACCTGCTACAAGTGTATCTGTTTCATGAGGTGCCTGTGATATAGTTTCATTATTACTCTTGGCATCATTATTACTCGTATTGTCATCAGGAGTATCAACAATTACGTCAGTTCCGGACGTCTACAACAACAATAAAAAATAACAACACATCAATTCAGTTCATATGCACAATTAATGAAACGAACAATAATTAGTAATGTTGATAGAGGTGTAGACTACCTGGTTGGGGTCTGCGTGATTATCGTGACCAATGGTTAGACTTTGAGTGACATAGCTCAAAATCGTTTGGAGTGGAGCTACATTTACGTTCTATATATCTGGTATTTGGTTGGATGCATAAATAAAATCGAGCATACTTGTTACACATATAATTTCGAATGTGGTAGTATTTCTACAGAGATTCTATCTTTTTTTAGTTGAATGACGATAAGCAGCATTACATAAATACTGTTTAGCACTTGGTCTATTTATGATATATATTTCAAGCTAGGTAATCGTGAGTTATTTCTACCATATCACTGTTTATACAAACACAATATACTGGCGGAAATATGATTATGCCGAGTGGAACTAATGATGAGTAGTCAATACATACAGCAGTAAGTGAAATTAGTGACCATTTGCTTTAGTCGACTAGGCAAATTATAGAAATTAGTAGTTAGGTGGATGAAGGGTTTAAGTCTCACTGAACATAATTATACACACTATGATAAAGAAGCATCCAATTGAGAGCTTCAAAACAGACAAATGCACATCTTGGAAACCAAAAGAAACCATTACAAAAGAATATTAAAATAGGATTGAGAAGAATATCGACGCATTTACATAAAAAGCTAGTGGAAAGACTGTAGGTAATATTTATACTACACTTATATAGAATCTTTAATGAACTGATTAGTTCTTTAATAAATGATAAGATTGATGACGTTGCTAAACATTAGCATAATGTAGTCCATTTTGACTATAATATGCAATGATTTAAAAAATAATCAAAAACAATATATCTTTTTTTTATAAAAATTAATCAATAAGCTGTCTAAAACATTAAAAATCAATTTTCAGCAAACACAGTAATGAAACGAAGATTGAAACAATTATTTCTACTTACATTAATAGGAATATTTGACATGTTTCTTGAATTCCCTGTCACTGGCTGGTTATCGTTATCTGAAGAAAGAAACAAATGTCAAATAAGTTACTAAACACATAGTTGTTAGTATAATAGATACTATAATAAAATGATCGTATTTGTACTAGTTTTTCTATTCCTAAAATTTATTTAACAAATCCAGGTTTATCTGGTGAACTACTAACCATTACTTTTTCTAATATAAGGACTAAGAGATACTATGCTTAGCTGTTGTCCAAACCCAGGTAATTGGTGGTGGTCGTCTTTGTAAAGTCAGTCAGTAGTCTTGAGCGCTGTTAGAAGCATGAAGGTTTCTTTCACACCTCTGTAATATCAGCAGTACGACTTCGTCCTTGGACTTTGGGTTTGCTGTATCTAGTCTTAGCGCTTTTCAGCCGACCAGCTTGGTATGGTAGAACCCTGAGGAACGATTATGCTGTCCAGTATAGCCCGACTGGTTAATAACGATAGGCAAGTCCGACCACTACACCAAAGTAGTAGCAATGGTCAGGCGTTTTTGTGCAGGGTTCTAGTCCGTAACCTACTATTTAAAAACTAAATACTTTCATAAAATTGCCTTTTAAAAATGTTTGATCGGATCGTATTCTGGTAGAAATACTTTTAGAAAAAAAGACAGTGCAAGTGAAATGGAACTGAATTGACGCAAAATAACACGATCAAACGAAATCAAGTTTATGGTAGAGGTGTTTTACGATAGAGTTATGCGAAACAGAAATTATGGTTGTATACATACATTCATTAATTTAAATAAACCCGTTAATGTCAAATGTGAACATTTACTTTAGCTTTATTATAAATAAGATCATAACTTTTACTAAAAGGTAACGAGTATTATCAATATACACGAACAATTAATGATAGACAGAACAAAAATAAAGCCTTATATTTTCTTTTAATTATTAGCTAGATGTTCCTTATCAGCTGCTTACAACCATATAAGCATTAAAGTGTAACATAGAGGTACGATATAACGTGAGGCGATAGACATTGATGATGGAAAGAATTACAGTAGCGAAGATTATCAATAATTATATATATATATATATATATATATCATAGTTCAATTCCGTAGGTGTATGTTTAATCTGGTGTTTCCCTCCCAAGATCTATTTCAATTGCAAACCGAAGAGCGATTGAGTAAGCAAGTTATCAAAGACACGCAGATCATATCAAATTACTTGTTCCTATAATAGCCATCACATATAGATACAAATTATCATCATTGTATTTAATAGATCGAGCGAAATGTATTTATGTTATACAAAATAAGCAGGATTTAATCACTCAAAAGATAATCCATTGATAGACATCAATTCTATGGATTATTCATCAATGAAATTAGGACCTGGACTAATACAAGGTCAATTCTAACCCGACTTATTATCCAGCCAAAAGATTATTAACACTTAGTATATAGAATATGGGATAAAAGTAAACAGCCGCTAGAATTTATAGACTTATCAACAAGCGATGAGATTTGAAAAGTCTGTAAATATTCAATGAACAATTCTCTATGACACAATTACAAATTTAAATTATAATAAGGTATATCATAAGCTGCCTCAAAACCGCTTACAATATTGATATACTAAAAATAATTAACAATGATTTTATAAGTTTACCTGAAACTACCAACTCAGATGTAGTAGGACAAGATTGTGTAGTACAATTGACATTTGACGCTTCATTCGGAGCATCAATAGAACATGTAATAGTGGACCCAACAAATTGTTGATCATTTTCAACTCTCTCAACTGGTTCATGTTTTTTGACAAGATAAACTGTAGTAGTTGAATAGAGAAGGGCAGGGAAAAGGGGTTGTTGTCGTTCATGAGCCATTTCTACAAGCAATCGCAATGGTCCATTTGGACACAAAACAGCTACTATATCTGAAGAGAATATTTCAAGTTTTAGTTAACAGGGAATTAATAAAGGAATATCAAATGCTATTTTAAACAATATAAAATATTACATAAACACATAAGTTAGAAATCATACTAAGACTTAAATACAAGGCTGCATATAAGTTAGATACTTAGAAGTAAACCTTCGTGAGGTGAATATGATAAGTCTTGTATCTGAACTCTTGAATCTGTTTTCTAAGCTTCTCCAATAACCCCCAAGCTAAATCTACATGACTTGAACACGAGAGAAAAGAAGCGAAGTGTGAAAAGAACGATTTGTTCCAAGGTTAGTCTGTGCACAGAAAAATTGAGGGTATTAATAGTATTCCAGCTGACTATGGGCTTCCAAAAGTTTCTGAAACCATAATAAACATGGTAGTACGATAGTCAATCATCCATCAGAAATGTGACACGTTTTAATCATTCCTAAATTCTTAATTGATATCAAAGTTTTTCCTAATATGATACCCTTTGAGAAAAAAAAATCCCATCACTATTTACCAGAGATATAGACAATACAGAATACAACCCTCATTTTAAGCTGCACAAATTAGTGTCAACTTTTAGATAACCGTATGAAACACTAAAATATGTGAAAGAATACAAAAGAAGAGTATTTTTCTTTACATTCACCAACAGATAAGAAAAATATAATACTTGTATAAAAGACAGATGGAATAATCCTCAAAAATGAAATAACGAATACATATAAACATTAATTTTATTCCCTAAAAACATTAGTAGATGAAAATCGGACTTCGGAACAGGTTAGTAAAAGTGTATGATTATTTAATCCATTTCCAATTTTTGTCAACTTAAGACCTACATCCAATATCGCTGGTAAGCTACAGTCACACTTTCGAAGTGATTAGCTCTTCCCGTTAATGATGAAAGCTACCTTTAAATAATAAAGAACCCAAAAAACTATTTAATCTACAGATTATAATTACCTCACTAGTAAATAAAACACATTGGATTCTGTGAATTACTATCATGAAGTTTTGATGGATAGAAATCATCCAAGTCAATTCCTCAATGATGATATTAAAGACTGAGCTATGTTGCAAATCGAATGAAACTTTGAGTATATGAGCTTTTATATCTCTATTAAGCAACTAAAAAGGTAAGGTATTCACCGTAAAAAATGAAGAACTTGTGTTTGATCAAATATATCGTTTGAGACATTTAATGCTGTGAAGTTACGTACTAGTATGAATGATTTTTATGAATATTTGTCAGAATTCGAACAAACAATGTGACAGAAATTGAAACTAAAGTATACTTAAGAGATCAGATTTAAAAGCATACTTGAAGTAATCTCAGAAGAAGTGCGGACTAAATTGCTGCACGAAAAGTTGTTAGATAATTTTCAATCGCTGAGATTATTTCAAGTACATTTTCGCATTTAATGTCTAGGAAAAATAAGCTATCTACCAGTTCTCGATTTAACAATCGGTGTCAGTTTATGGTAAAAAGAATTTTGAAACCATCTATGTTTAATAATTAACCCATAAGGCTTTAAGTGTTCAATCAGTGCTAAAAGCAGGTTTCCCAAATTCCTCTTATTTTTAGAAAATAAACTATAATACGACAGTATCGAGTGTGTATAAAAAGGCATACCGCACATTGGAAAACACTGTTGATATATATCCAGCCAGCTCAAGTATCATTTGCCATCAAGGATACAAATCCAACCATAATAAGCCTTGATAAAAAATTATTTAGCATCTTATCATATGAGAAAATGAAGCCGAGAAAATCTAATGTAGTAAAACTGACCATTAAGTTAAAAAAAGCCCAAACTATTTAGGTTTTGCCTTTACATATCTATACAAACAACATATGTTTAAATTGCATACATTACTAAAATGCTTTAAATATCTTAGCTACTATAAGCAGTTATTTAAGTACAAGCAACGTAGAGTGGTACATACAAGTGTCCTTGCTTCAGTTATCCTACTCATAACTAACTTGATAAAGGAAGATCATAAAACTTAAAGTGTTAAAATCTATTACAGCAAAAATACCGAGAGAGGAGAAAAGTAGGCGCACATATTCAGTACATTTGAACCACAAACCGATTGTTAATGACCCAGTGTTCATGACCTGGAACTGGTGGAACTACATCTTTTAATATTATAGGTAGGTCTTGATAATACCATGGCATGCGCCTAACTTTGGCATTCAGCATAAGTGGACAACAGTATACTGCTAGCTAGCCCCCAACTAAGCTCAAGTCAAATCTTCAATGTAGGATCCATAAACGACAAAGGTTGATATAAAAATATTAGAAATTCATGCTACTTATTAGTTAAGTTAGTAATACAATGATATATTGACGCAATTATAGGACAAATACGAATGTACCCATCTTTATGATAACGCAAATATTTAGTATAATTGTGTTCTGAACAAAATATATCTGCTTGCATTAAACATTTTTACAATAATTTAATCTTTATATTGAGACAAAGATTGAAGAGGTTATTAAAGCTATTTGTGCAGATGATGACTGGATTCCGAAAAAATATCCGATCTGTGCGAAAGTTGAAGCACCACATACAAGTGTTATCGACAGAAGTATGAGGTGTAACTCTTAACCTTGCCTGAATTCTATGTTAGTTGTCGAGCATTTTATCTACAAGTCAAGCAATTGAACGGGACACAATGATATGTCTAATACATTTTGCAGTTCCGATAGAATTCAAACTTGTCGATAAAGAATGTTTGTAGTTACTAAACGAAGAAGTGTATATAGAGGAGGGGATAATGGAAGTCAAACCATGAGTTATTCACTTGGTAATTAACCTAGAAACTGTTAACTGAAATCCTATAGGGCTTCGAAACTTCTTCCGACCTCAGTAAGTAGTTGAATCTAACAATCTACAATATTTGAGATATTTCAATCAATGATTTATCGCCATGGTTATAAGCAATTTTGAGTCTTTGGAAGATGTTTTAGTATAAAAAGATCACATTACACATCAACTAGATTGAAAAAGGATTCACAGAAATACTCATTGCGTAAAAGTTCCAGACAATTCCATCTAAAGTTTAATGGAAGTCAAATATAGTAATTTGACATAATAGAACCTTTAATTTTAAAAAAAAATGAATTAAACCAACCCCAAACACTTAACGCTGCTAAAACAAGCCAACACGTCCATTTGGGTAAATATTTTAGAAACATTAATGAAATCTGTGCAGATATAAATATTAAATACGCTTGTTGTAGAACTAATGGTCCACGCCAATGAATAACTATCATTCCCACAACACCAAAATTCCATAAAGCAAACGCTACTGTAATATAATCAACAAATACACCCATAGCTCGAAGAACTTCACTACAAGAAAATAATAATTATAATAAATATTTTTGATAAAGTATATATCAGCATAAAAGGTAATACGAATCGCATTAATGGAAATGGAAATAAATTTTCTTTACTATCTGCTTGCGACGAAAACTATCTTCAAATTTTATATGAGCACTGACAAGTGATATCAACCGAATAAAATGAATTTACAATAGACAGTAATAAATTGATTATTAGTGGGGAGTTTTGAGATTTTTGTATAAAATGACGATATATGTAACCATGAATTAATATCAATAAGAAAATAATTGAAAACACAAAACAATAAATGATCAATTTATTCAGGCCGAGATCCCTTAGTAATGTGAATCCACGACCCTACACAAAATAGAACCTAAGACCTTGATGTTTTCCATCGAACATGTTAGTTTTTTTCACGCTAGTTAGAATCCAAAATAATTCAGCTTTAATTTTAGTCGACTTGTGATACAACACTATTTTCATTTAATACGACTAGAGGGTTACTGTCCTACTCCCGGCTTGACTGACTATCTTACTACTGATACACAGAACATAAAGAATGTAAGTAGAAAAACAATTTTTCAATGATTTTGAGTACATCATTAATTTGAAAATATTGCTGTGAAAACAGCAATGCATAACAGAACTTCCAAGAAAATGATCAGTGAACAATCATCTTTCTAATTCTCAAACCTTTGAGTCCCCATATAAATAAGAATTGACCCTATACACCTCGTCAGTCAGACACTATTACAATGTAAAGATAAGCATTTCTTAAGTTTGATTAAATAAAGTACTACAAAGGTTATATATATATATATATATATATATATATATATATATATCCTTTGAAAGACCCTGACAGAGTTATAAACCACGTAAGAACTATTAAACGAATTCTTCTTTATGGACATGGTTGTTTCAAAATTGGGAGAAAGCGAACAGAAAGTTAATACGTGAAAAACAGTTATTCCGCCGTAGTTTATGATATATTATCTGTTTAAAATTTTGGTTCATTTCACAATATATAAAATGAATGAGCTCTGAATTATATTATGAAATATTTAGTTAAATTTTCAAGTATAGGGTTGACTGTTACGTGCAAAAAGTGCTTCTATTTTATTTCTTACTAACTTCTTTGACTGTGCTGATGTGAGTCGTGATGACTTAAAGCGATACCCATTGGTGCCATGTTGCACATCATTAATTAAGTGACCATAATAATTCACAAAATTATCCATATAGTGTTAAAGAAAAGCTCAATGAATAAGGATAATCAACAAGGAAATGTTAAGTGTAGTTGGTTCGGTGCAACAACCGATCATTATCGAAATGAATAGCTTAGCGATAATATTCACATAACTGAATAGTTAAAGTATTTATGAAGCAAGATTTTCATTATTATTGCATATATGCCTAGTTAAAAGATGCTAATGTTTATAGATTTGGGCAGACTGTTTTCATTAATTAAACACCGGTTCCAATAGAATCCTTCATACCAATCAATACATTGAAACAAAGTTGTCAGCCGAATTCAATTAACATTAAAAGCTAAGATCTACGTTAACGATTCCTTTCAGTAGTTGACTGGTCATAGCTAACAGTTTAACAATAGTATCCACAGAGTGAAAGAATTCATATTCTCACTCGAACATCCTAGTATTACATACTTTTACTACTGTCCTAAAATCAATAATCTTAGTATTTTGTTTTTGTTAGCTAAGTACTACTGTTTATATGATTATTTTTAACTTGACCATTTATGATCGTCATAAACAATGAGCACCTACTGAAATGAATGAAATCTAACTTCGAATCTAATTTGTCATAACCTTGGATTCGCCCTGGTAATCCTTAAGCCATTCTATGGCCTAGGGTAACGCGATAATTTATTCTATTCATACGACGTAATTTTTCCCTCTCCTTTATTCACAATTATTACTTGGTTTACTTGAACCTTTATTTAATTGACCTTAACTAATTTTCATATAAAATGCCTTAACAAGTATATGTGTGAGCAGATTGTTCAAAATGTATAGCGCAAATAGATAACATTTCTCAGACCAACTGAATTTTCTCATTGTTCTATCGAAATCTTAGTTAATTTCTATTAGAATTTCTATTATTCGATGACTTCGTCTTTTCTACCGAACTACGATGTTATTTTGTGACAAATTAATTGGTGACCAACTATCTTATCAAGCTTTCCTTGGTAATATAACAATAATAACTTTTCATTTTCTAATCTGACTTAGAATAAGGGAACACGAGACACGGTAAATGTAATCGTTTGAAGGTTCCAAAACTATGTTACTTTCTTTCTCTATCTTTGTCTACCGTTATTGATAAATGAAAAAAAACGAGCATTTTAACTTTTTTGATGCAACAATAATTAATTATCACTCACGCAAAAAACATGAAGGATATCAGGAAAAGTAAGAAGATGGTCGTCATAATTATCCAACCCCGAATAAACTACAAAGAAAATAACGTATAAAAGCTTTCAGCAATTTTATTATATATATATATATATATATATATATATATATATATATATATATATAAATTGTACAAGTAACTGTTGAGACAGAAATCGTGTCTTTGCAGCACCGAGTAAGCAATGCCTGGGTTGAAAATAGGGTACTAGTAACGGATGGCAAATCGATTGATGGGATAGTAAAAAATCTTCGTTAACCGAGGTAGTTGGGATATTTTTTACGTGTATCCAACCAAAGCCTACCTCTACGAGAGATGTCGTCTGGTGTGAGTGTAGGTTGGAAGAAAGCTAGGGACGGACAAACCAAAACCTGGCATCAGTTCATGAAGTGATTGACAATTGAACTAAGCCATACTAATAGGTGTAGACAACCTGGTTGGGGTCATTACCATGACCAATGGTTGGAGAATTTGAGTGACATAACTCAAAATTGTTTGCAATTTAACAGGTGCATTTATTTTTGTTTACCACTAAATCCTAAACTTCCGAATCCTTCATAATTTTCTCCGTTTTTACTTCACCAATTTATAATCTATAGAATCGTATTTTAGATGCCCAATATTTAGATAAATCATTTTGATATTTGTTTCACATCTAAGAATATTATGAGAATTTATGGAGAATTTTGTGTGAAAATATTCATGTCTCACCTTATAACACTGATACTTGAACAGTAAAACAAGGACACATGTCATTACGACAACCACACTCATAAATATCAAAGTATTAGCTATTGTTTGCCATGTTTGTGTCCCAATATCTGCATCTGGAGTATGAAAAGGTGTATACAACAAATACTGATCCGTATGTCCATAAAAGTCAACTGTTGAAGCGACAGCAACAACAAACAACATACAAACTGTCACTGGTATAAATAAACTGAAATGAGAATGTAAAAAAGGGAAGTGTAGTTATAAGAAAGAATATAGTAACATTATAATAAAAGAATATTTGGAGATGTTTTTCATCAAAAATTGAAATTTGGTGGAAAGGTTCTGGGGACTATGAAGTATTATAGTAAATTACAACTTCTAGGAATGATCTCATGACCAACACACCACGAAAGGGATGTTCACACCAATGATCTCGTGAATCAGCGTTTTTTAAAGTTCAAAACATTTCACCTTTTGGTGCGACTGTCTGCTAAATCCATCAATAAATGAGTAATTTTACTCATACATATAAATCTAGTGGGTTAGCGTCAAACCCTTTATAATACTCTCTAAATTCGACTAACAATAAGTCTTTTTAAATCCTGGTATGTTTTTTGTATAAATTTAAGGATTATTTTTGCAAGAACTGCCGGAGGATATTTTCTTATAAAAAATGAAATGGTTCCTTTATGATACCCATTATTATGATTCTATGAAATAACTATCATGGAGTAATCTTTTTACTATATTGAAGAATGCCACCTTTTGAAAGCAATAACGCTGAGGATTGAATACAATGCTAAACGTATACAACTTGAGATTTCTGATATAGACCCCTCAAAACTTATGAGGATTACTGAACACCAATTCATAATTAGTAAGCATTACGATTAGTCCTACGATAAAATATTCGGTACCTAAGAACATTTTAACAAGACTTAAGGCTAAAGGTGTAATACATCCTTACAACAGGAACTCAAAAGCAACACTTGATTTTCTGCTTTTATGGGTTATGTTCTAGAGCCGTGCACAAAAGCAAAGTGGACTGCTACCCCATATACTCGCTCCTTGGTGTACAGACAGAAATGCATATGGCTTAATATGAAAGTCTAGGTTACAGTGAACATAAACACAGAGAATTTTAAACTCAACGTATTTATCTATATCATTAAGAAAATATTGAAAAATTAACCTGATTATCTGCTTCGCCCCATAATAAAGCATTTGATCGGGATTGATAGAATCTATTGATTCACGGGACGAGTGATTATGACCAGGTAAACGACTACGAGGTGCTGAACTAGATGTCGGAAGACCACCATGAGAGTGCTCTCTTGGGCTTTTGTTTGACTGTCCAATGGGTTGAGATGAAGACTGATTGGTTGTCATCGATATACCGATTGCAACAACAAAATCTGTATTCTTACAGAGATGATTTATTCAAAAACAAAATCAGGTTTAAAAACTTACATAAAAGTATATAATACAAGTATAACGACACCTCAATAACCAGATACAAGTTCGTTGGGATATTCGTTCTACTTATTATAAAAGGATAGTAACTTGGTTTACTAGTCATTTAAGATGAAGTGGTGTTCAGAATAGCGATTTGGTGCTTAGACGACTGAACCCAAATGAGCATACATTAGTTTCTACCTCAATGTTAAAAACCCACTAACTTTAATGACATTCTTAAATAATTAGGATAATGGAACCAGGAGAAAATTAGCTTACTACAAGATTCCACCATAACTTAACAACAATTACTCAGGAATATCAGACAAAGTAACTACAATTCTGAAGACAACAATGTGTGGAAAACAAGGTGACTTCACTAAGCCAAATGAATAATTATGTATGCTACTAATGGATCATACCACTCTCAAGTCGTACAAATACAAAGAAACGTTTAGTCTATTCAACAGAAAAAAGGATAATTATAATCATTTTATTGTACCCATATTGCTAAGTAATGAGGGAAATGATTTTGATCCTGAGATAGCATGATGTCTAGTAGTCCAAACCGAATTAGTCAGTGTATTCAAACCTGCAACCTGCTAGTTGAATGTCGAGTGATTTATTTTATTTTTATTTATTTGAACACATAAACATTGGTACAATAGGGCGAAAATACATGCGTGACACACAGTTATCACTGATTTGTGTGAGGGCTGTGATACTGCCCGAGTGCCAAATCGAAGCAGGTGGTCCTCTTAAGGGGTCACAGCCGGAGCCTTTGACCTAAAGGTCTAATCCACAAGCCAACTTTAATAGATGCAGTCCCAAGGCAGCCGGTGACCAGCAACAGGTTTTTTCAGGGTCCTGGAACCCATGTGCCCCGTTAATTTGGAATCAGGGTTTTCCAACCCCCCTTAGATATATCTTCCAGGTTCACCCGATTAAAGCGCCGAACATTCGCTTTTCGTCCTTCCAAGTTCGTAAACATCACCCCCGCCGTGAGAAAGCAGCGAGTAGAACTTCTCTGGTAGTGGCCGTATACGCGTGGCCACGTGAGAACATCTCGAGAGGGAGAGTTGACTCTCTTGACCCTCGGTCGTACAAGGGCATTTGAGGATTGTCCTACTTGCATTGATAGACTTCTAGTAGTTGGTAATCTGATGATAAAAGCGAAATCCTCCCCTCAATATATACAAAAACGATTTTGAGCCATCCAGCAATAGCTTAGATGGTCATTGCTTTAAAGGACGGAGAGACAGATATAAGTAATTAAATTATTAAAGATGGGAAATGGTGTTATAAAATTGAGCTTTATTTTATGACATGACGAAATAGTTTATGAAGCTCAGCCACTTTATTAATACCTACTAAATGAAAACATCTAAAAGCGAAAGTTTGGTTTGTGGAGCATACACTGAAATATTAAATGCAGTGCTTGAAATACGAAGTCACGTAATGCAGGCATCGAGTCATAAACACCTCATAATCAAACAACTTAAAATTGTTAAAGGGACTGTAAAACTCAAAACGTTTTTTGAGAGCAGGTGCATTGAAGCTTAACATCATTTGAAGGTCATGCTTTGTAATCACCCTTATGTCATTTTGTACCAGAATCTGGAGAAATAATGTTTCATCAACATAAGCCCAGATAAATTTATCAGAAAAACTGTTCATTAATCTGCTATTAATAGAAGAGTTAAAAATCAACGCTTGAATCATCAGAGAAAAAACTATGCAATGTAGCTTTCAGGTCGTAGTTTAAATACATTGACTCAACAATTTACACTGCTACCTTATCCAGAGCCAAGGATATGTAATATAGATCTACAGGTAGTCAACAAATGTATCGCACAACTTGAGTATATACAGGCACCAGTTCTACTTAAATCAAGGATATCATTCTTACGGCATATGAAACAAATGTACGCTTCAACAATGTTAATGTTTCCGCATTAGATTTTTAAAAAATTTACTACTTCTAGCGTTCAAAGTAATATAAAAATATATATTTTACTGCTCAGCATACGTATGACCATCAGCATTTGGCAAGTTTGCATCTAACATGAAGGTACTATATATGCTGTGGGAGTGTGCGGAGCAGTGAGAGTGGACGGTTCAGTAAGTATATAGAATGCACTTACATTTAGTAATGAAAGTCTGTTTCAGCTTGGGAAAAACACAAGACTGGGTGGGCTGTTTTAGTCCTGGCGATAATGGTCTCTCAGTTGATCCAACTCTCTTTTATATGCATCAACAGATGAAGCTTCAACTACGTGTTTAGTTGACGAGTTTCATTAGTTGGTGATTCGATAGGAAAGTCAATGGTCACCTGACAAGTAGTTTGTTCTGGGCTTGTCAATGCTGTTAGTATTCTCGTAAATTCTCTAATTTGGGAGACAAGAAAAGTGAAAGTGCATCAGAGGCGAATTTATAGTTAAATAATTTGGAAATAACGATCGAATCAATTCAGCTCCTTTTATACAAAATGGGGAATACGTCTATTCTAGCCAGTATCTCGTCACATGGCAGCCTCAACATACCAAATGTCAACTCAGTGGCCATTCTTTGAACCTTTTACAACACCTCAGTTCATTTTCAGGCAGAGACTGGCTGTTTGTACGCAGTACTCGGGTTTAGGATGAACAAACATCGTATACAAAGTCAAGAAGGTCTTAGCATATACATGGTTAAATACTCTATATATTGACAAGATAGTTCTGAAACTCTTAGCAGCTACGGCACAGCAGTGTGCAGTGATTTTCGGATCTTGGCTGAAGATAACTCTTGCGTCAATGTGTGTCGGGACAAAAGGTAACTCAATGTTGTTCACTATATGTGTCTCTGTAATCTGGTGACCAATGTGCATCCTAATGCACTCGAAAGCAATTACCGGAAACTGGCAAATTCCAGACCATTCAGGTAGTCTCTCCAGGTCATTCTGAAGCTCTTCCTTTGTCATCGCTCTCTACATCTTGCCACTGTTGGCATAAACGAAGCCAATGATAGAATAGGAAAGTTATATACAAATGGGAGGAATGACATAGTTCATCAGACAGATAACCTGGAGTTGACGCCCAACTGGGAAGTCCCTTACCCACACAAGTAATTTACCTCCAATCATGATACCACTTAACTCAGATTACAGTATTGTGTGGGGCTTCATCAAAAGCTTTACTGAAGTAAATGATAACTACATTTATAGGTAGCCTTAAGTCCCTTTGAGCACGACTTTCACGGACTACTAATACGTTTCTGAGACATGAATAACCCGACTTGAAACGGTGCCACCTTTCGGAAAGGATTGAGATTTTGTTTAGATACTTCAGTTTTAGTTTGGAAAGGACAGGAGGCTTGATGGCCTGTGTTAGTCCTAGAAACGGTGGTCTCCCAGTTGATCCGACTTCCTTTTGAAAGAATCGACGGATGGAGCCTCAACCACGTGCTGAGGTAATGAGTTCCACTCGTTGATGATTCGATGTGAAAGTCGATAGTCAGCTGATAAGTAACTGGTTCTTGGCTTGTGAACTTTTTAGGAGTGTCCTCCTAAATTCTCTGTTTTGGAAGACAAGAAAAATGAGGGCATATCAGGTGCAAATTTATCACAAAGCAATTTGAAAACTGTAATCAAGTCGCCTCTAGTTCTACGACATGACAACGGTAATAGGTTTAGCTTGAACAGTCGAGAATCATGCGGAAGCTTCACGATTCTGGGAATCAGCTCAGTTGTTGTTCTCTGAACCTTTTCCAAAAGCTCACTGTCTTTTTTAAGCAGGGGCTAGCCGCTTGTATGCAGTACTCAAGTTTAGGACGTACGAACACTGTATACAAATTCAAGAACCTTTTAGCGCCGACATGTCTAAAGGTCCTATGTATTGACCATAAGGTTCTAAAACCTGTGGCGGCTATTGCACGTATTTATTTATTCGAATACATAAATATTGGTACAAGAGGGCACCATATATATATGCGCCACACAAAACAATGGTAATTTGATGAGAAGGAAAAAAGGTGAGGAGCGTAAAAAAACAATAACGAACAGAATAAGGTAAGGTAGCGTAATAATAATAATGGGGGAAACGAGAAGGTACAATCAGAAGAGATCTTTCAGTTAAGGAAGAAGCAACCACGTTTTATGAAGTAAAAGAGTACAGCAGGATCGCCACTGGCTTCTATTCTGAGACATATCTGATAACGTCTCTAGCCACTGTGTTGCACCATCTCTCGGACCCCAGCCAGGGAGTCGTGAAGGACCAATACAAGTCAGCTGTTCGCGGATTTCTTTCATACCACAATACCATGTCATACATACATAACACGGCAGTGTGCAGTAGTCTTTAAGTCTTGGCTAACGATGACTCCTAAGTCATTATGTGTCTGGATAACAAGTAGCTCATTGTTATTCATCGTGTGTGTATCTGTACCTTGATGACCGATATGCATCACAACACACTTGGAAATATTTATCGGCAACTGCCGGGTTTCAGACCATTCAGATAATTTCTTCAGGTCATTTTGGAGTTCTAAGCAATCACCGTTACATCTTATCGTTCTCCATATCTTGACATCGTCAGCATATAGCAAGACCGATGATGATAGGAGACGAGGAGAATCATTTACATACAAGAGGAATAGCACTGGCCCCAAAACTGTATCCTGGGGCACTCCACTAAGCACAGTTTCCCAGCTAGATAACTTTGGGTTCACCCGTACTCTTTGTTGGCGCCCAACTAGATAGTCCCCGTGAATTTACCTATGTCAAGCTTATTTAGTGGACCAAAGGCATCGAGTTTTTAATGGTCACGCTATCCAGCGTATGTGTGGGGGGATTTGTATGCGCTGACGGGGAGGGTGCTTCTATGGTATATACACTGCTAAAGTAGTTTGAGAACACTTGGGCCTTATCAAAGTCGTCCTCTACTAATGATGCGGCA